GATAACAGGGGAGAGTGAGGGACAAGAGAGAGTGACCTACCTGGTGGAAGAGGAGGTCGACATTGGTGTTGACGTCATCACTAGCTGGTCGTCAAGTCGTCTGGTTGCTGACATGACTGTAGTTGTAGGATACGCTGTAGAGTAGATAGGGCGCCTGGCGCCATTCAAGAGAGAGGTCTACTTCGGGTTATGTTGTTGGTGTTGCCCGATTGGGCTTGGACATTGACTCACAACTTTTGCTGTATCGTTCTCAAATGGATGGTTGCTTGGCTCCAATGTGTTATCTGCTCTTGCTTTGACTACTTGGACTTCAGTGTGATTTGCAATCTGGATTTATGTGCTTCGTCCACATTCATGTTCCTTGCAATTTGGTATCGGAGCTGGTTCGATTCGCCGCTTACCTTGGTCCGCCGGCGTTATACAGACTTGGTGCGTTGATGATGCTTCTTCGCAGTTGGTTCTTGTGACATTGGGCCAAAAATAGGCGCACGACCTGGGTTGAGAGGTGTGCGCCGGAAGGCTATACGGCTTGGGATGCCGTGGTGACCGCAGAATGTATGTACGGTGATGAGAGCATGCTGATGTGGCATTTGGCTGAGGTGGCACTACAGTGTGTTGTGGGTGGTACCAAGGCTACGACCGGTCATCAAATGCACATTCGGCTCAATTGGTGAGAAATCTGTGGTTGGGGGCAGCTATCTCCAGGTACATTGTTCCCTTACCTTATCTACCCTCTCAATCTCTTCTTACCGCGAGGAAGTGAGTCCAACTTGAGAGTCCTCTCTTTTGGTGAGGTGTCGTGAGCGCTCTTCCTTGAGAGGCGACAATCTCCCCGGTGGCGCATCTGAAAGGAGAAAGGGCGGTGCCTCTGAAGGGCCCTGGTCGAAGCACATGGGTCACGGTCACCATGCGAACCCAATGGGATTAGTACACGCATGCGATGGCTGCTTTGTCCATTGGGGCTCTTTTGCTGCGCTAATAGAGGGGTGTGCGGACTGAACAGGCTTATGCAGACGTTCCCAGACCGTCTGTAAACATTTCTGGATGGGGATCCAATCTGTCCACTGGCTGTGATCGTCGTCCTGATTGCGACGTTAAATAATTCCTGAGCGACCTTGGGGGCAGTCCTTTAATAGGCCTCTTGATCAGCCAGATCAGTCGGACGTACGGCTCGTTGCACGCGAGGATAAAGAAAGGGCAAGCCTGGTCATAAGCATGCACCTGGGGCACAGGGGTGGGCCGACATTGCACACCTATGACACTGCTGCTCAATGATGCTCATCGCTATGTTGGATTGAGGGGAGGGGAGGTTCCAATTGGTGCTCAACTGTAAACACAACCATATCCACTGTTCATACATCTGCAACATAATTTAGTTTTATTGTTGATTAGTTGGTTGACAGACTGCTAACACCTCACAGACTGCTTAGTTTAGGACTGTTGTATATTACCATAGCCAGTTCTATGCAAAGCTTATGTAAGTGAACTAATCTTGATATTACTAAATTATGTTTACAGTCTTTATGAATGTTGTAGGCTGCCACTTGATCGGTTGAGTAGGGGACCTGCCGGACACATTTATTTTTAGAAAATTAGGTGTTGGTCAGACATATGCTGTGGTAGGACTCCAATAGGGAGTTGTAGTGCAGACAGTGTTTGCCTAGCTGATGAGTGGGTCAAACACCGATGAGGGTAGAGTTGACGATGCGAGACACGTTCGAGATCACTTAGGGTCCCGCACGTGTTTCAGGCCCTACGGTCGGGGGATGAAAGACGGCTTCGTGCCGAAGTTAGAGCCCGTGCTTACGCAACAGCGAGGGAAACAGCACTAGCTGCAAGTCAGGCGTTGGCAGCAGCTAACGTTGCAGCTAGGGAACATGCAGCAGCAGTCAGCGCAGCAGCAATGGCTACTGCTGCAGCCTCCTCTGCTGCATCCTCGTCTGGGACCCTGTTGGGAATGCCCCCAGGGCCCGGTACTTCCGGATCAGTAGGTTCCAGTCAGTCCACATGTCAAATGGCGGGCTCGCAGTTCAGTCCGTTGACCCCACGCGGCAGAGAGCTACTAGAGCTCCAACAAGTCGAGAGGATCCGCACTCGGTTAGAGAGGGAACTGAAGCAAGCTACCCATAGAGAGAAAGAGATCAAAAATAGAACAGCCAGGCTTGATACGTTAGAGGCAGACAAAGCTGCATTAGAGGAGTTAGATGACTCAGCAATGTCTGACACAATGAAAGTGTTAAAGTCCAGCATACTGTCATTGCATGCGCATGTGGACAACGGACTGGATTTCATGCAGAACTCCTTGGACCAAATCTTGGACCTTTTGCAAAGGCCAGGATTACGGCCAGCAGCACAGTCGCCGTCGCCGTTAACAGAGATGTCAGGCCCCTTTCCGGTACAAGCTAGCACACAGCCAAGTGGTACGTCTGCAGCAGCCGCACAAACTGTTGCTTCTTCTTCTTCTGCTCCAACGGCTGGAGCTATACCACAGCCGCAACAATATGTTCCACCTCAGGGACAACAGCAAAGTCCATGGTACCCAGACCCCAATGAAACCGTTCGTTGCCTTCTCAGGTGAGAAGAAGGACGAGGAACTCAACACTTGGTTGAGAACTGTTCCAATGTGGGTAAGGGCAAAGAGGACGTTGCAGGAGGAGGAGGTGATTACTGTTGCATCTTACCTTGAGGGTAAGGCAGCCAAATGGCTGGATGGGATAGTAGCGAAGGCCGGTTTCTGACAACGCATGGCAGACTGGGCTAAGACCCTTACTTTAGAAGAGTTCTAAGATATGGTAGAAGCTCGCTGGCATAATCCGCAGCAGGCACAAATAGCCACTGATGCGATGCTCAGACTGGACCAGCGAAGGTACAAGTCTGTTAGAGAGCTGACGTCTACCGTAGAGAACCTCATCGTCATTCCCAGTATACGCTATGATGACCAGGTCTTATTGACCATGTTTCTGAGATGTCTGCCCGAGAATCTCAGGATCTTACTGGCCAGCGAGGCGCGCCTCGAGTATCATTCCTTTGAGACCTTCTCTAGAAAGGCCTTAGATTTAGAGGCTACTCTAGGAAGTGCTCAACCTACTCCAGTAGACGGGAGGAAGAAGAAGAGTCCACAGGAGTGGAAAAAGAAGGGTAGTAGATTGATGATGGTTGAATCCGATGGAACTCAAACTGAAATCGAAGGACTTACCGACCTGATGGACGGTTCAGAGTACTACGGCGAGGAAATCGCTGAGGGTAGCACCCTCGCCGCAGTAGTAAAGACTAAGGCAGGTGGCCGAGGGAAGGGCCATCAAAAGAGTCAAGGGCAGACCACCTCCAATCAGTCCAAAGTAGCAGATTGGGTTAAGCAGGTCTTGATCAGGAAGTGTGGCGGGACCGCCGAGTGTGTGGTGCTTGCATAAACTGTGGTGAATACGGACACACCAGTACAAGTGCAAAAACGCAAAGGTCACGCATAAGATACCCCCTAAGGGAGGGGTGCCTTTTTCCCAGGCTTCCAACTCGGGAAACACTTGAGGCCGGTGGAAGTTTTAGCTGCTTTTACTCATGGTGAAGTGGGCCAGATACCCTCCCCACTTCATGAGATGGCCATAGCTAATGATTCTTTAGTCACCCTGCAGACTCATCTAGACCAAACTATGCTTTGTACGTTGGATGTGTCTAAGGCTTTAGAAGATTTAGAAAGTGGGTGGTCAAGCAAGGACCCTCGCGAATCTTGGGTGGCACTAAGTAGAGGTCCTCGAGGGGAACATTTCGTCGTGGAAGTTGTTGTAGGAGGCCACAAATGTGGTGCCTTCGTAGACATCGGCTCCACACGGATTTATATAAGTCGCGGCTGTTTGGAAAGGCTGCACCTAGAGGACCGGGTACAGCACCTTAGTAAACCGGTAGCATCTACTTTGGCCAACAAGGAGCGCATGGTTATCACAGACTATGTCAAGGATGTAGTCTATACCTTCTCCTATGGAGGAAGGGAACTTAATCACAAGATTTCATTCCTGGTTAGCGACGACTTACCATTTGATATGTTGTTAGGAATGTACTACCTTGAGGTTGCTAAGCCCCAGTTTGACTGGGACAAGAAGGTGCTAAAGCATAAGTTGTCGGATGGAAGGATTGTGAGACTGACCAAGTATAAGGCTAGTAGGTTACTAGAATCCTATGGCTGCTTGTGCGCATCTACAATTATTATAAACAGAACCAAGAGGAGAGTATGTACCTAGTGTATGTCTCTAAGAAAGGGTAGGCCGTTAAAACACCCCCAGAGATAGAACACATCGTTGCTAACTTCCCTAATATGTTCAAGGAGCCCACAGGAGTCGTAGACAGGGAGATTGTCCACGCCATAGAAATAATTCCAGGAAGTAAAACCCCAAAGGGAAGGATCTATAGGATGGCTCCGGCTGAGTTGGATGAACTCCAGTGACAACGGAAAGAGCTGACAGAAAAGGGTTGGATACGACCGAGTACTTCCCCCTTCGGATCTCCAATGTTGTTTGTACCGAAGAAGGGGGGATCGTTGAGGATGTGCATTGATTACATAGGCCTCAATGCCATCACAGTGAAGAACGCAGAGCTTCTACCTCGCATAGACGACCTATTGGATAGGGTGCAGGGATGTAAGTACTACAGCAAGATAGACTTAAAGTCCGACTACCATCAGATTGCCATAAGACTTGAGGATCAGCACAAAACCGCATTTCAGACCAGATACGGTCTGTACGAGTTTGTGGTGATGCCCTTTGGCCTTTGCAATGTGTCGGGTACATTCCAGCACGCCATGAATAAGATCTTCCATGACTACTTAGATAAGTTTGTCGTCGTGTACCTTGACGATATTCTTATCTTTAGTAAGTCTGTCGAGGAGCATGCACAACACTTAGAAACTGTACTCTCTCTCCTGCGACAACACAAGTATAAGGTCAACCTAAAAAAATGTGAGTTTGGACGCACTAGGATCTTGTACTTGGGTCATGAGGTATCCGCGGAAGGGATTAGGTCGGAAGATGCGAAGGTGGCTAGTATTAGGGACTAGCCACTACCTCAGGCTGTTACTGAGGTCAGATCTTTCTTAGGAATGTGCGGCTACTATAGGAACTTTGTGAAAAACTATTCCACGGTCGCCTCTCCTTTGACTGATCTAACTCAACTTGTTACGCCGTGGGACTGGAGTGATGAGTGTGAGGCTGCTTTCAAACGATTGAAACATGCACTCATGAATCATGAGGTTCTCATGGTGCCTGATCCTCAGAAGCCTTTCATTGTGACCACTGACGCAAGCCAATACGGCATTGGTGCAGTGCTGGCTCAACAGGATGGGAAGAAGTTTAGACCGATTGAGTACATGAGCAAGAAAATGCCATCAAAGAAACTGGCAAAGTCCACCTACGAAAGGGAACTCTATGCCCTTTACAAGGCACTTGTCCATTGGAGGCACTTTCTGTTGGGACGGTTTTTCTATTTGAGAACTGACCATCAGACCCTTAAATGGATCAAGACTCAACCTGCTCTTTCTGATGCACTCAAGCGCCGGATTGAGGTCATAGATCAGTATGACTTCAAGCTAGAGTATCTGAAGGGAGAGTACAACAAGGCTGCAGATGCGCTGTCACGTAGGGAAGACTACCTAGGGGCGCTAGTTTCCGAATTTGGCGTATCTAAGGAAGTAACTCAATCGCTGGTGGGAGCCTATCAGGAAGACCCTGTCACGATGGACATCATATGCAAACTGCAGGCGAAAGATAAGTCCATAGAAGATGAGTTTGTGATGGTGGATAGGTTGCTCTTTCTGAGAAAGGATGGGATTGAAAGATTAGTTGTTTCATCTAGTGAAAATTTGCGTAGTTTATTTCTAGGAGAATGTCATGACGCAACTGGACACTTTGGCTACAAGAAGACAAGCAATAATCTGATACAGCGATTCTGGTGGCCCGGTATGCTAGATGACGCAAAGAAGTATGTGGAGACCTGCCAAATCTGTCAGCGGGACAAGCCGCAAACTCAAGCACCGCTTGGGTTGCTGAAGCCCTTGCCCATCCCCGTTGGTCCGGGACAGTGTTTCCATGGATTTCATGGACACCCTGGTAACCAGTAGGAGTGGCAAGAGGCACATCTTTGTTATCATAGACCGATTCACCAAGTATGCTAGACTAATTACTATGCCAGAGACGGCGAGGACTGGACACGTCATCAAGTTGTTTACGGACAATTGGGTGCGTGATTTTGGACTGCCAAAGTCAATTGTTAGTGACAGAGATGTCCGATTCACAAGCGAGCTGTGGAAGGAGACTGCTGAACAAATGGGCAGTCAACTTCAGATGACTTCGAAGCCAACGGACAGGCCGGACAGATGAACAGAGTTGTACAACATCTGCTGAGGCATTACATCAAGCCCAGCCAGGATGACTGGGATGAGAAATTGCCTCTCATCGTCGGCCTGTACAACAACGTTGTACACAGCAGTACCAGCGTCAGCCCTAACCAGCTGCACTTGGGATGGAAGCCTAGATCACCGTTGGACTTCCTCCTGCCTGAAAACCGACCCTCTGCAACTCCGGGCACACTTGAGTATGGTGTGCAGTATGAGAAGTTGCTACAGCAAGCTGTCGAGCACATCAGGAAATCTTAGGAAGCAATGATTGCTTCTGAGAACAAACATCGTCGACAGTCCACATTTCAGGTAGGGGAACGTGTCTGGGTCAAGGCTAGTGAGCTAGGACAGGAATTCGGTATCTCTCGGAAACTAATGCCACAGTATTTTGGTCCCTGGAAAGTCTTGGACATAGTCGGGGATGATTTGGATGGTCCTTCCTATGTTATCCGTATCCCTGGTCACTTGCGCACTTACCCTATTTTTCACGCCTCAAAGCTTGCACCTTTCGCTGAGACAGATAAATTTCCTTCAAGGAGATCAATGCTGCCCCCATCCATGGATGGCCACGTGGACGTCGACGACATACTGGAACACAGAGATACGCCTGTTCCAAGACCTCTGGGCCGAGGAAGACCTCCAAAACCCAGAAGAGAGTACAGAGTCAGATTCATACATCACACGGATCCTAAAGAAGATCGATGGTTCACCAGAGAGGAACTGATTGAAACAACACCTCATGTGGTAGCTGAATATGAAAGACAGCTAAAGGGGAAGGCACCTGAGAAGTAAGCATCTCAGCGGACTTTCGAAGGGGGATGGAATGTGAGGATTGAGCCCTCAACGGGGCCATGCCGACATGCAAATGTTCTGGGCATGGGCCCCCAGCAAACCTCGTGCCCGCCCTAAGTGAAGGCGGGCCAGATTATCCACGAGAGACCTTCATTCAGCATTTCACAAAGTGGGTATCATACAGTTGCTGCACGCCAGTTGGTTGGAGTGCATCGTGAGCCTCAGACTCCTGCAAAGGTAGTTGAGTCCAGGGCCTCGGTTGGTTGAGCCCTGGGCGACAGTCTGGGAGGCCGACACATCACACATTGGTCCCTGGCCTCGGAAAAGCAGTATATCATTGCAGAGGTCGAGGAAGCCAATGGGAAACCAGTACGGGGTCTGAATCTGGACCACGGCCCTAGCAGAAGGGGCGCAACTGTATCACCTGGGCCCCATCTGCATTGGGCCTGGGTACAGGTACTGGGGCCCAGGCACAGGCTCAAGGGAGACCGCCCACACGCAACACTGGCATATAGGCAGAGCGGGCGAGTGGGCAAGGATCTTGGCCATTGCGAGCAAGGCCGGCACGCTGTAGCATTGTGAGGTGCTGCGCTGCGCTAGGCTGAGAGAAGGCAGGCTGGCACTAAGCGGTAGGGTGCAGCCTGGGCGCAGGGCGCTGGCAGACATAGCCGGGCTGCATGAGAGCGCTGAAGGAGGTGAGGGCGAAGGTGGTTCTTCGGGAGGTGAAGGGCGCTGTGTGGGATAACAGAGGAGAGTGAGGGACAAGAGAGAGTGACGTACCTGGTGGAAGAGGAGGTCGACATAGGTGTTGACGTCATCACTAGCTGGTCGTCAAGTCGTCTGGTTGCTGCCATGACTATAGTTGTAGGATAGGCTGTAGAGTAGATAGGGCGCCTGGCGCCATTCAAGAGGGAGGGCTACTTCGGGTTATGTTGTTGGTGTTGCCCGATTGGGCTTGGACATTGACTCACGACTTTTGTTGTATCGTTCTCAAATGGATGGTTGCTTGGCTCCAATGTGTTATCTGCTCTTGCTTTGACTACTTGGACTTCAGTGTGATTTGCAATTGGGATTTCTTTGCTTCGTCCACATTCATGTTCCTTGCAACTTGGTTATTTGAACTTGTGTCAGCTCTCGGTGCATATTTTGACCCTGTGGGGGTAACGAAGTGCTGCCGAACCCATCCCCTTCCCCGCCTCTTTCTCCACCTCTTGCCATGTCTACCACCATTCGTCTACTACCTACGGACGGGGCTACAACTGAGAAGATCGTCACAGCGCCCTCCGTCTCTCAGGCACCCACGTACCCGACGGTCTAGGGTCAGAACCCTGTGGACCCCATGGAACTTCGCGCTGTTCTTGCATCCCTCCTTGCACCTTTGCAAGCGCGGCTCGAGGCGCTTGCACCCTTGGAGGGGCAAGTCAATGCGCTCGCCCGTGAAGTTCACCGCCTCAAGGGTTCTCCTCATCGCTCTCCCAACCACTCTCAGACTCCATCCCCTACCTGCTCACAGTCTGCCTCTCCACGACTCCAGACATGGAGACGTGGTGGTTCGTCCTCCTCCGCAGGTCAGGCCCAACACTCCCCCTCCGCGGTGGTGAGTGTTGTCACCGCTCAAACCATACCATCTGTTGCGGCACACACGTCGGCCCCTGCCGCCCCTGCAGTCCCTACCGCTTGGGCCACTACCGTCGGTGCTGCTGCCCAGGTACCAGTATCTGGCCAAACAATTTTATCTACTCGTCCCGGTATGGCTTACCAGCTTCCTGCTTCGGTTCCGGCACTACGGACCGGAGTCCTCCCTCCTCCCATCATCTCCTCACTCCCACCTCAGGGTTCCCTACAACTCGTTACTCCTCCTCCCGCTAGGGTACCCTCCCCGCCTCCTCCACCTCCGGCCTCGCGCACCCAGCGAGTGGCTACCTTACAGGCAACCATCGCGCCGCTCCAGGCGGAGATTCTCACCTTGAGACAGCCTCACCCTTCACAGGCTGCTCACCCTTCTTTTTCTTATACCGCACCTCCCACATCTGTTTTGCAGGCTCGTTTCCCTCGACCTGCTCCTCCCCCTCTACCCACCTACCTCGCCACTCCATCCCAACTAGCTGTAGTTGTGGCCTCCACCTCTGCTGGACCTTCCACCAGCAGCCCCGACCAACAGCCTGCCACCACTTCCACCCCTGCACCGGCCCCAACATTTGCCTCCGAAGTGCAGACCCATCACCCTCTCTTCCCCCGCCGTTAGCACAGTGGTCCCACCCTTGTGCGTCTGTCGGATATACCCGACTACGATGGTACACTTCGTGTGTCACATTGGCTGCCACACGTGCGTTGACTCTGACAAACACTAGTCGGGAGTTGTGGTGCTCTAAACCCATCGTACTCGAGGCAGCACGTTCTCCGCATGGAAGAACTACTATACCTATCATACTCGCTTGGGTGAGGCTCCCACTCTCGCGGACTTCACCGCGTTTCTTAATGACCGCTATGACACACTAACGACGCGATCGACGCCCTAGATCGGGTCACACAGACGCACCGGTGCGGGTCCTCCGCACCAGCGGACCTAGAGCGTCACATCCGGGTGTTTCGGGACGCCCGCCTCATTCGCGATGAGGCACTCCTACCTGAGGTCCTTTTGACCAACAGGTTCGTCATCAGTCTTCCGGCCGATTACCACATCGAGCTTTGGCGACAGAGTTTCGCCGCCTCAGAGCAGGCCTACGAGGCTGCTCGACAGTACCAGAAGATGCGGAGTCGCTTCTTCGACGCCCCATCTTCTTCGTGATCCACCGTCGTCACCACCCAGTCAAGCGGTGCTACTCGCGGTCGATCCTCCTTCGCCGACCATTTTCATCGACCAGCTCGACCTAGAGCGCCATTCTCTCAGTGCTACAGTTCCCTCGAGTATGGCGAGGACGCCTCAGCCGAGCTCGACCCTACCTTTGGGGATGCCCCCGAGGACATCGAGCTTCGGGACGTCATCCAATACCACTGGGATGATGACACAGGCCCAGTGGCTGAGCGCTTGCAGATGGCCATGTACGCCATGGGTCATGCGCGTAGTCGGGTTGCTCAGGCTGGCGCCCGCACATTTGAAGTCCCTCGGATAGACCTCCCGTAGGGTTTCGTCCCTCCTCGTGGAGCTCTATCCCCTGAGGAGCACGCCGCCCTCGAGACCCGTCGCGGTTGTTTTCGTTGCCGTCAGGATGGACACACCTCCTCACGGTGTCTATACCATGATGCCCTTGATCGGCACTATGCCGACAGTTCTCGTCAGCGCCGATCTCAGTCCCCCCTCGGCCCCGCCCGGCCAGTCCCATCCAGCTAGCCGCGGTGTATTGTACCACTGAGGCCTCGCACGTAGCCGACTTCCCGACCACCGAGTTGCGATTTGCCCCTTTGGCTACCCCACCAGATGATCCTTAGGATACGACAGATGCAGTTCCCTCTGCCCTGCCGTCTGTTGAGGTACTGTCTGTCGCACCGCAGACCGCCGCATCTAGTCCTTCCCCTCTGAGACTTTCGACGCGTCGCGCCATTCGCACAACTCCTTTTAGCGCTCAACTGGCGACTCACGATGACGTTGTGTCATCTCTCCTGGACTTCAGCATTCTTCACGTTCGTCAGGAGCGACTCACGAGACACGTAAACGTCATGCGTCGTCTTCTTGCTCTGCGCTTTGACCCTGATCGCACCCTCCTCATCATTCCTATCAGCTTGGGGACATCTATGAGGGTGTACCGCACTTTATGCGACTCTGGCTCGCAGGGAGACTTCGTTCACCATCGCGTGGTTGAGGAAGCTCATCTAGCTAGCTCCGGGTCTCTCTCTCCTATCTATCTCCATTACCCTCGAAGATAACAAGACGCAGCGGTTCTTCGATCAGATGGTCCCCGACCTCCACTTTTCCCTCGCCCTCCAGCCACCGGATAGTACCCAGGCGCCTCGGCGCTACTATTCCACCACATACTTCGACATGTTGGAGACTGGGTAAAACTTTATCCTTGGCGCTCCCTGGTCTCACCGGTTCCGTGGCACGGAGGCCGAATGGGCGACCGAGACACTCGTTCTCAAAACGAAGTGTGGTTAGACCCATCGAGTTCCCTTCATTGGAACCACGGGTGATACCCCTGCCGACCTACCTCCCCA